TTTGTCTTTTTGTTTATGGCTCAAATTTTCTGCATCCTATCTAAAAACAAACAAACAAACAAAAAACCTTTGTCTTTCTTTCCCAAAGATGCTATAATTTTTCCATGTTTCCTACATTTTATAGTATGAGCTTTTATGTTTAGGTCTAAGACTTTTGTAATTAATTTTTTATCCATAGTATAAAAACTGAAGTTCACTTTTTCCTGTGTGAGTATCCAGTTGTTCTAGCACCATTTGTTGAAAAGGCTTCTTTTCCCAATCCAATTGCCTTGTCATCTTTGTGGAAACTGAGGATATAACCAAGGGTCTATTTCTTTGATTAACATGTCTGTTCTATGACAATACCACACTGTCTGTATTCTCTATCTTTGTAGTTAAGTTCTGAAATCTGGTAATAAGTCCTCCAACTTTTTTCTTTTTTCAAAAATGTTAAGGCTATTCTAGGTTTTTATGCCTTTCCACATAAATTTTGTAATCAGCTTGTCAGTTTTTATTTAAAAAATACCATACTGGAATTTTCATTAGAATCCACAGATCAACTGAGAGCTTATATCTAAATATGATTGAGTCTTCCAATCTATTAACACTGTTTATCTCTCCATTTATTTAAATATGTTTTCATTTCTCTCAACAAGGTTTTGTAATTTTCAATATAGAGGGCTTTTATATATTTTGTAAAATTTATCCTTAAAACACTGCATATTCTGAGATGCTAATGTAAAAGGTATTTTTTAAATTTTAGATTTTCCGTTTCATTTCTGAAGAAAATGCAACTAAATTTTTAATACTGACCCTATAATTAAAATTATACATATTATTTCGGGTAGTTTTTACATTCCTTAAGATTTACTACATTCATGACCATGTGATGTACAAATAGAGAGAGCTTTATTTTGTCTTTGCTAATTTGTATGCCTTGTCTTTTCTGTTCTTGAACTGGTAAAAGTAGATGATCTTGCCTTATTCCCACCCTTATGGGGAAAGCAGTCATGTATGTTAGATTTTTCACGTATGCCCTTCATCAAGTTGAAGAAGTTGCTCTCTCCTACTGGTTGAGTTTTTTATGATGAACATATACAGAAATTTGTCAAATGATTTTCTGCAGCTATTGAAATAATATTCTGTTTTTCCCTTTATCCTGAGTATATGGTGAGTTATGCTGATTTATTTTTGAATCTTAAATCAACCTTATACTATTTCTGAGATAAACCCTAATCAGAGCATATCTTCCTTTCTGTAGAGTACTGGATCCTATTTCAATATTACGTTAATGAATACTGCATTTGCATTCATAAAGGGTATTTATCTGTAATCTTTTTCTCTTTTTTTTAGAGTGATTGTTGTTTTTTTTTTTTATTTTATTTATCCTTAGAGGGGAAGGGAAGGAGAGAGGGAGAGAAATATCAATGTATGGTTGCCTCTCATGTGTCCCCTGCTGGGAAGTGGCCTGCAACCCAGGCATGTGCTCTGACTGGGAATTGAACCGTGGTTGTTTGGTTCCCAGGCCCTCGCTCAATCCACTGAGCTACACCAGCCAGGGCTGTAATCTTTTTTTCTGTCAATGTCATTTGGTTTTGTTATCATAACAGTGGCCTTAAAAAATAAGTTGGGAAGTGTTTCCTACTTTGCTTTTTGTAAGAATTTGTGTAGAATTGGTATTATTTCTTAAATGTTTGATGATTCCTCCAATGATGTCATCTGGAGTTGGGGTTTTCTTTGAGGGAAGGTTTTAAAAGTTATGAGTTCAACTTCGTTAATAAAGACCCATCACAATTTTTCTGTTTCTCCATGAATCCATATTGATAGTTTACGGTTTTCAAAGAAAGGTTCCATTTCATCTAAGTTATAGAATTTAATTTGATAGAAATTTGTTCATGTTCTCTTGTTAGCCATTTAAAATCTACAAAATTGGCAGTAATAGCTATACTTTAAATACTAATATAGCCATGTGGTTCTCTTCTTTTAAAAAATCAATTTAGCTAGGTTTATGAAATGTATTGGATTTCCCCCTCAAATAATTAAGTTTTGGTTTCACTGATTTGTATCTATTACTTGATTCCTTTTTCATTGATTCCCACTCTTAATTTTTTTTTTTTACTTTTATATAACTTTGGGTTTAACTTGCTTTCCTTTATACTAGCCTCTTAAAATCGGAAGCTTAGATCATTGATTTTAGACCTTTCTTCTCTTATGAGCACTTAAAATTATAAATTTCTCTATAAGCACAGCTTTAGTGTCATTCCTTATTTTATCAAGGGCAAAAAAAAAAAAATCATGAAAAGAAAACCTCAGAAAGAAATAAGTCCTTCCAGAAATACCAATTAGCCCTGCCAGACTGTATTAGGCTTTACACAGGGCAATTGTACAGAAATTGTTTCTCAAACATGGAAGCACTGACATTTTGGAAAATAAAAATCACTGTAAGTTAGTACTTAGAAAAAGCATTTATAGTCAGTTAAACACACACCCCTTTCTTCTGCAGCTTAAGAAAATAATATTCCACTAGAGTAAGTCTGAATACTAGTAATACTACAATTGATATAAATACATATTCAATTGCTTTCCCTATTTTACACTTATTTTTTCTTCCTTTTTTTTAATTAGCCCAGGGCACACACACAAAAAAACCATACCACAACCAATGGCACTATTGTCAGAATGAAATTTTCCTCTATTTTAGGCACCAATTCTATACCTTGATAACACGAAACCTATTAAACTGACCTTACTAAATTAAGATTTGAAGATTAATTTGCCAGGTTGTACCAGATATTTTTATTAATAGAAGTATCCCAATTTAGTAGCACAAATACATTTTAAAACACAAAAACAAATGCTTCAATTATAAGTTAGTTGGGTATAAGTTATCTTCATAAGAACTAAGTATTTCTATGGCAAACATCCACAGAATAATACCATACAAAATAAATAATAGTTTTTAGTATTACTTACAACAAATACTTTACCAAATCAATTATAATTGCCTTTTCCCTGGGTATGAATTTTCTAATTTAAATGTAACTAGTATTTAGTAATGCAATAAAAACAAAACAAACAAAAACCAAATTCTTTGGGATAAGAGGCTTAAATTTAAGTACTGTACTAGTTCTGCCACTTACTAACTAGCTAACTTACATAAATCATTCTAATCCAACATTAGTAGGGACAATAAGAGCACCTAAGTTATACAGTTGTTGTAAGGATTAAATGAGATATTTTATATAATAGCACCATTTCACACACTTGTCTGACATACTGAATGACCTCACAAACTAAATCTAGTACGTCTATTTAAAACTTCACAAGAAGGGTAAAGAACAAAAAAGTAGTCATAGTTGAGTGGCCATTTAGGAATAATATCATAGAAATAAAAGTACAGTAAAATATGTTTACCTTTAAAAAAGTTACAAATTAAAAAATTTTGTTGTCTACTCCTCTTCACCTATGTCCTGCTTCCCAGGAAAAATGGAGCAATAAGTAATGCTAGTGGACAAGTAGGGTCAATCAATTTGCTAATGTTAATACTCAATACAAATCTTGACATAATTAATATGAAAGCAAAAAGGCACATAGATTCTGATGGTGCTGAGCTGTACGTATTAAGCCTGCCTAGTCTGTAAGTGGGGGGGGCCTCCATGTCATTCACTTCATTCTTAGTCTCCCATTCAAATTATCAATGGACAAATATCCACAATTCATTGAAAAATTGGGGGATTCTTCTAGTGTCTAAAAATTGTGGCTTATTTTCAAATTACCATTTTAACCAAAATGCCAAGTTTATGATAAACTGACTGACAACCCAACAGTATTCAGAAGTATTAATACAGGAGAGTGTATAATAATTGTGTGACTAAGCCTGTGCTGCTCTATATCCTGATTCATTAGTGAAGGGAAGGAAATACAAAAACATGCTTTATCGTATCAAATATATTATCAACCTTGCTCTGCTCCCAACTGTACAGTTCGCAGAATAATTGCTAACTGTTCTTTAAGAAAATCTTTTAAACTTATAATCTTTATTATATATTTTTTCCATTACCATTTAGTCCCCTTATACTCTCCTGCCCCCAGCAATCAGTACCCTGTTAGTCTCTAAAATCAAATTTTTTAAAGTTTTTTAAAAAATTTGATTTTAGAGACAGAGAAGAAAGGAGGCGAGGAAGGGAGGGGGAAAGAGGGAGAACAAGATCGATTTGTTGTTCTACTTATTTATGCATTCATTGGTTGCATCTCTTATGTGCCCTAAATGGGGACTGAATCCTCAACCTTGGCATACTGTGAGGATGCTCTAATCAACTGAGCTACCCGAGTCAGGGCCTAAGTAAAGACACATGCCTGAAAGCAAAGAAAGGTACTTCAGAGAGAGCTTCAGAGAGAGCCTGCTGCTTAATTTCTCAAACACACATTTCTTATGTAATTTGTTCCAACTTAACCCATTATGCAAAAACACAATTTTCATGTCCTAGTTCAGCAAAAATTCCATGGGATTTAAAACAGAGTTATAGTTATTTGAGGTCAGCTATAAAAACAAATCCTTAAACACTTGCTTCAAAATAATGTAATATCTACTTTATATATGGAAATTAAATGTCATGAATTTTAAAGCTCTACCATTAAATCCTTTTAACTTTCAAAACAAAGTTTTCCCAAAACAAATGTTCCAAAACTTCTGGTAAAGAAGTCCAGAACTACATGGTACTCAAAACAGTAAAAGGGAGACAGGAGTTGAGAGAGAGAGAAGTATAGGAAAGAGGGAAGGGAATCTCTTACTGTACTTTCTAGTCTGTTCTCCCTGGCTATTCAGATGAACTGTCTTTTGAGAAGCTTTAAGACAGTGTGTTCATATTGTATATAACCCAAACCCATGAAACTAGAATCTTTGGGTATAAGAAACCAGATATGTACATTTTTAAAAAGCTCCTCTAAGTAATTAAAATGCATGGCCAGCCAGGTTGAGAACTATACAACAGGCAGGCTACTATTTAGGTTTCAAAAAATACCTTGATCTGCTGTCTTCGTAGCATGGCAAGTTCTCTCATGTCTCGGAATGGCTGCAGTAAATACTGATAGAGTTCAGTTGTGGCTTCTGCAAGGCTGCTGTAGGCTTCATCCTCCATCTGATACAAGTCCAGAAGCTCCACCATGCTCTCTGTATTCTTGTGCTTATCCAAGAGCTGTGGAACAAGAAAGTTTCACTACCAAGAAATCTGATTATGAAAGCCTGTAAGCACCACTTGCTTTTCACTCCCTTTCATGAGGACCTGGGAACCCTAAAACACAGAAGCAGGAGGGAACAAAAAGTACTGATTTCTTTTTATCACTCCTCTCTATGCCTCGGGTGTCTTATCATTCAAGATCACTGCCTCAATTCTCCTCTTCTAACTTTCACCATATTACTCCTGTTCTCTGTACTTGCTAGGACTCCATACCACTTATTTGCCTAGTTAGCTCTTTAAAACCTGTCCCCACCATCCAGTATCTCTCTCCATATTTATATATTTAAAAAATTTATTGCTAATGTACAAAGTAGTAACTCTTACCAGTATTATTTTACTAATTTCTCCATATCTTCTTGTCACTCCTTTCTTCTTCCCAATTTGGAACTGAATTAACTTTCTTCAAACTCATGCTTATTACTTCCTTAAAAATCTAGGTTAAAAAAAACCTCAACTCTACTGAAAAGTTTAAGATTGACTACAACAGATGTGTATAACTCTTACTTTGTATAACTTGGCACCATGCATGTATGTGTATTTACATATTCATTCCTCAACAAATATGGACTGGGCATGTAACATGTTAGGCACTGGGCTAGGTGCCAGGCGTACAAAAACATGGTCCCTTCTCCTCATGGAATTACAGTGAAGCACTATTTAAAAACATTACAAACAGTAATACATGTAATGAAGATCATTTTATGTTTTGAGAGTATAAAAGTGACACAATGAAACAATGGGTGCCATGAGAAAGAATAGGAGGTGGGGAGGTACTGTTACATAAACTGCGACCTGTAATACTTTAGAGTAAGCAGAAGGCTGTCCAAGAAAGCTTAAGCTGAAATTCAAAGGACCTCTAAAAGAACCTTGTAGCAAAAAAATATTTTATATACTTACTCTTAGTGTCCATTTACTTGGTGACAGCGTCATCTGCCCAGAGGCACAAAATGCTGCTTTATTTTCTCATACCTAAAATTTCCACTACGATCTTCCTTCCCCAACTTCTTGATTTGGCTACCACATTTTGTATTATACAATGTTATGCAGAATCTATACTTTGGATTCACTTTCTGCACAGATTCTTAGACCAAAATCCAGCAGCACCTGGGCATTTAGTATTCTGCCTAGTCCATCAGTAATCATCAATAACTGGAAGAAGGAAAAGCCCTGAGTTTAAATTTATAGCTTTTAGCTTGGGGAGAGTTCCCAGTGGCTGCTGAGGGAGTAAAGGAGTGTGGCTACAACACAGAAAAGGAACCCACAGCCTTGGTGGCATGAAGAGAATCAGAGAACAGAGTTGGGGAGCAATTACGGCAGCTACAAAGTACTTAACAGGAAAATACTGAACAGGAAAAAAGCCAAAGGAGAAAAATCCCAAATATGTACATAAACTAAAACCTCGGGCTGATTACTGAAACTATGATACATGGACAGGCTCAAAGTACTGCAGCTAAACATAAAATCTTAATATTTTAGCTGCTGCCCTTGCAAGGTAGGCAGATTTTACAGTTTTGAACTAATTAAATAAACTGCTTAAGCGAAAATAAAACTGTATAATATAATCAACACCTGCTGGAGGAATATAACACAGTCCAGAGGCTCTGCAAGGTATCATTTATAACATCCAGAATACAATCCCAATTAGCAGATCTACAAAGAAATAGGAAACAAAACTTAATACTCAAGGGGCAATCAATGAAGACCAATTGCAAGATGAAACAAATCGGTATTTAGCAAAGATTTTAAAGCAGTTACTAAAATAATACTAATAGACACAAAGGGAATATGCTCATGAAGAATAAACACCTAGAAAAATCTCAAAAAAAGAACAAATACAATACCTGAATTTTAGAAAAACTTGCTTGATGGATATAGAGTATAAAAGTAAAGACAAAAAGAGTCAGTGATCTTGAAGATAGACTAAGAGAAATTATCCAATCTGAAAAAGAACAAAAAAGGGAAAAGAAGCCTTAAGGATCCATGGGACAATACTAAAAGGTCTACGATACATTTAGTTGGAAGTTCAAGAGAAAAAAGGGGACCAAAAAAATTTCAGGAAGTAATGGCCAAAGAACCCCAAGTTTGGTGAAATTTACATATTCAAGAAGATCTGACAATCCCAAGCAGTAACCCAAAACTAGGCTCAAACTACTGAAAATCAAAGATGAAAGAGAAAATCTTAAAAACAACCAGAGAAAAATAACAACACATAAAGAGGAACAAGTATACAAATGCATGATGACTTTGAATGAGAAATGATGGAGAACAAAGAACGGAAATGTGACATGTTATAGTTGAGAAGAAAAAGTCAATCAAGAATTCCATTCCCAAAACAATATACCCTTCAAGAATAAGACAAAGTAGACATATTCACAGATAAATAAAAATTAAGAGAACTCTTCATCAATAGACTAACACTTTAAGAATTTTTTTTTAAGTTTTTCAGGTTGAGAGGACATATTACAGATGTAAACCTGGATTTTCAAAAAGAGAATCAATAATATTAGAAGTGGTAAATAAATGAGACAATATAAAAGCCTTTTTTTCTTCTTCATTTCTATAGAATGCATGAGTGTTTAAAGCAAAACATTTTAATACTATACTGTGGGGTTAATAATGTATGTGGGCTTTAATAAATATGACACCTATACCTTATAGAATGGGGTTAGAGATGAGCCTATATGGACACACAGGTCCTTATGTTTAATATAATGTGGTATAATATTAACTTTAATAAGTATGGTATAATCTCTATGGCAACCAGTAAAAGAATAATAATGCAAAGAACTATAACTATGACCTCAATAGATTAAACTGTAAAATATAGTAAATGAACCCAAAAGGTAAGAAAGAAGAAATAAAAATCAGAGAATACAAACAGAAAACAGTCCTAAATATAACCTAAATATTACATAAAGTGTAAATTGACTAAAATACTAATTTAAAACTAGAGAGTGTCAGAATGAATAAAAATGTGAGACCCAAAAGAGATGAAAAGTAGAAAACAAACAGTAGAGCATAAGTAGGATGCTGGGACTATATCAATTTCCTATCAAGTAGATTTCAAGATATTACCAGAGATATTACCAGAGATAGTGCAGAATATTCCATAATGACTAAGAGTCAATTCCTGGGGAAAACAACAATCATAAATATGTATATACCTAATAACAGAGCTTCAAAACATGATTCAGAATTGAGAAAAATAAAGGAGAAAGTAAATCAACAGAGTTGGAGATATTACCACACCTCTCTCAGCAACTGACAGAAGTGGGAAAAAATTAAGTAAAAACAAAGATGTGACTAACACTACCAACCATCTTAACCTAACATAATCTTTTAAAGTGCGTATGTTATATAATATCCAGACAAACCACATGCCAAGGCCATAAAACAAATTTCAAAACTTTTAAAGAACTGAAATAGAGTACATATTTTTTTAAATGGAATTTTTAAAAATCCATATGTCAAAAGAATGAATTAGAAGAGAGATATGAACCTGGCTGGTGTAGCTCAGTGGATTGAGTGCAGGCCTGCGAACCAAAGGATCACGGTTCGATTCCCAGTCAGGGCACATGCCTGGGTTGCAGGCCAGTTCCTGGCAGGGGATGCACAAAAGGCAACCATACACTGATATTTCTCTCCCTCTCTCCTTCTCTTCCCCTCTAAAGATAAATAAATGAAATCTTTAAAAAAAAGGGAGATAATTAAGAAAATATTTTGAACTGATTAATAAAAAAAATACAACCTATCAAAATTCATAGGACAGTTTTTTGCCCTTCAGGTAAGGAGCTTGGAAATCATTATTCCCACCCACATTAACAACAAAGTGGCCCTGACTGGTGTGGCTCAGTAGTTTGGGCATTGGCCTGCAAACTGGAAAGTTGCCAGTTCAATTCCCGGTCAGGGCACATGCCTGGGTTGCAGGCCGGGTCCCAGATTAGGGGTGTTAGAGGGGCAACCAATCAATGCCTCTCTTGCACATGGATGTTTCTCGCCTTCCTTTGCTGTTAAAATAAATAAAATCTTTTTTTTTTTTTTTTTTTTAAAGAACGAAGTTAATCAAGCTGAAAATCAACAAACCCTCTTAGATCCATCAAAGGATTAATTAAGGTCACGGGGCAAACTGCTTCTCCTGTAAATGTCAGGATAGGCAGACACAGAGAATCACAACTTACTAGGGTATAAACAAAATAACAGAAATCTCTGTGGAAACCAATACTAGGGTAGGGAAAACTAAACTGTAGTTGTTAAATTGTTAGTGTCTCACTGTTAACTGGTCTGAAAAGTTAAAGACTCCAGGAGTTACGGGGGGGTGGGGGGTGGGCTATACTTGTTTTGAATTTTACCCCCCATGAGCTCACCAGATTCTCACAATGAAACTGGAGGAAAACCTCCTTGTACTTCTGACAGGGTAAGAGATAAAGCAGCCATTTTGAAATGTGCATGGGACAATCTGTTCTTAACAAGGCTTGCCATCAAGAGAAACTACGTCACCAGAGACTAACTGACCTAAGGAAAGAGAAATGCCCAGCTCTGGACCTCTCTAGCCTTTCTGTCTCTCCAATGAGGTAAGGGCAGCAGAGGGGACTGAGAAGACAACCCAAGGGCATAGGTGCACTAAAAGATTGAAATGTAATCACAGAGCTATAATTAGCACCTCCCTACCCCCTGCCCAATACCTACCAATACCTAACTACTACACCAATAGGGCTATGGTGTAACAGGGTAATATAAACTAAAAAACTACATGTCTTAGAACTTATTTAAAAAGTAACTAGGGAAACCCAAAACAACAGGGGAGATAAAAACACACCAAAGGAAATGTTAGCCTGTCACACTTACATCTACTGCCTAGAATTATACAGTCTACCTCTAACCAGATAAACAAAACCTCACACTAAAAGCTCCTTCTACCTAGTACATCATGTTCAGGTTTCAATTTAAGTAACAAGGCA